ATCAACCACTGAGACTGGTTAAGTTCGTGCCTGAAAGTCCTGCTTCAACAAGAAGAGCCTGCCACCCATTAATGCTGCGTGAGCTCCGGTTGTAAGACATCTCATCGATCTCTAAAGAACATTGCTGCAAGGCTGGACAAGGGGGGACGTGGCTGGGAGGGCCTGGGCATTGGCGGCCTCTGAGGAGGTAGCGCTACAATAATAATAATAATAATAATAATAATAATAATAATAATAATAATAATAATAATAATAATAATAATAATAATAAAGTTGGAAGGGACCTTGGAGGTCATCGAGTCCAACCCCCTGCTCAGGTAGGAAACCCTACACCATTTCGGACAGATGGCTGTCCAGTCTCTTCTTAAAAACGTCCAGTTTAGAGAAGCTAAGCTGAGACGAGGCATCTTTCATCAATTCAGCGGCAAAAAAATATAACCCTCTAATCTCACCTCTTGTGGAAGGAGCTCACACTTCTGAATTTCGCTGTATGCCATTGGCCCGTTGCTCTTTTCACACACTGTTTTCCCTATGTCCACCGTAAGATAGTATTTCATGCCTGAAACCACCTGGATTTAAAAAAATAGGTACCACAATGTTTAGGTAATTGCAGCAAAAAAAAATGTATAATAAATTCTAAATCATGCTTAATTTCATCAGATGCAACCTTGGAAGGATTATAGCTGGAGAGCAAGAAAATCAGTTCAGCTGGAAATATTTCGATAGCAAACAGTCACGTCCTTTCAGGCCACAATTTGCTCAAGACACAATGCAGTGCCCCCCTGGAAATAGCCCCCTAAACTGCCTCCATCCCTCCCTTCCACTGTTTCCAGAGCCCCTTCCACTGATGATGTTATCTAGTTTGGTAATGAAATGTCTTCAAGAAAACAATCAAGCTCAGAGCGTTCCAAGGATCCCACGGACCCTATGGGGCTGCCCACCTACCCTGATTGTCCCTCACATACACACACACCTGGGTCTGTGCCTTCACAATATGCAGCTCCTTGAAATAGTTGGGGTTGTTGCTGCGCTCGTTGTACTGCTCCACGGCAAAGGCGGCAGCGTTCTGCACCCCCTCATCTGTGACAGATGCGGGGAAAAGTCCCCCAGGCATTCCCACCTCCTGTAGCAGCACCGAGGGCAGCATCAGGAGGGAGCAAAGGAGGACGAGAGGGCAAGGCATCTGGGAACGCGCCATGGGGCTGGTGAGAGAGAGAGGCTGGCAGATGCGCAAGTAGAGCAAGCAGGCAACCCCAACAGTCGTACTGAACTGAACCCGGCACAGCGGGGACAGATATAGCCCAGGATGGCAATGAATCCTGGGAATGTTTGCAGATCATTATCTACATCTTATTTGCCCATCCTTATTTGCCCATATATCAAATATTAATTACTAAGTCAATAATTGGAAAATAAGAGCTGTGTTCACATGACCAACTGATCCAACCCTGAGATAGCAAGCACACCCAGCACTTAACCCTATTCTGCCTCGTTTGATGCCTTAACTGAGATTAGAAATAACCATCCTGCACCGTTTACAATAACCCACGGTAGTGCCTGTTGCAGGAAGGGAAAGAAAAGGAGAAGAGGCAAAACTACTCTTGAAAACCTTGATAGGATGCAGGCTAATGAAATGAATCAGAATAGAAGGGACCTTGGAGGTCTTCTAGTCTAGCCCGCTACTCAAGCAGGAGATCTATACCATTCCAGATACATGACTGTCCAGTCTCTTCTTAAAAGCCTCCAGTGATGAAGCACCCACAACTTCTGAAGGCAAGCTCTTTCCACTGATTAATTGTTCTCACGGTTAGGAAGTTTCTCCTTAGTTTCAGGTTGCTTCTCTCCTTGTTTCCATCCATTGTTTCTTCTCCTGCCTTCTGACGCTTTGGAAAATAAGTTGACCCCCTCTTCTTTGTGGTCACCCCTCAAATACTGGAATACCTTTATCATGATGTCACCCATAGTCCTTCTTTTCTCTATTTATTTATTTATTTATTTATTTTTCATAATTTATATGCCGCCCTTCTCCCCACGGGACTCAGGGCGGCTCACAGCATATTAAAATAACACAATACAAACAACACACACAACATTTCCCCTATAAAAGCCAATTAAAACCAAATATTTGTAGCTGTGACATTATTAAAATCATTAAAAATTATCCCTTTAAAATTCACCCTAGGTCAGTCCCGCTTGCTGAAAGAGCCATGTCTTGAGGGCGCGGCGGAAGGTTAGGAGATCCGGGATTGTCCGGATCTCGGGGGGTAGCTCGTTCCAGAGGGTGGGGGCACCCACAGAGAAGGCCCTCCCCCTGGGGGTCGCCAGCCGACATTGCTTGGCCGACGGCACCCTGAGGAGGCCCGC